CAACCGCTGATGAGAGTGCTGCGGCCATGGGGTGGGCGGTATCAGCAGTCAGTTAGGACACGGAGATCAACATCAAAGAAACAGCTAACACATCTTGGGGGCCACTGGTAATTGCCCCCAAACTGGTGAAACCAATGGCACCTTTGAGCCCTGATGTACAACTTCGATGAAAAACAAAAACTCAAAACATTCACCCTCTGCCCAGAGGTCTGGGACTGACCGGTGCAGACAAAAAAGGCCAAAGGAACAGCACTGAGGCCCAGGAGCAGCCGCGGGCAGCAGAGCCCAACACATGCCGTGACGTCCCTTCACTCGAAAGCCACTTCCAGGTGGATCGAAGACTCAACTTTGTGAAAGCGATGTCTGACAACTTCAGAAGAAAATAAAGGAGAGCATCTTTATGACCACTGGGAACAAAGGGTTTCTAAGTGACATAAAAATAAAGCACACACACAGGAGATGGCTGTAGGCCAGCTAGGACTACAGCACAGCAAAAGCTTCCGCACACAGGAGGTGCCACCAACAAAGGGGCCATGGGTGCCACAGCCGGGCTCAGCATCGCAGTCGGGGAACCCCCCGGACAGCTGCTGACTGAACAGCCGAGTCTTTGGAACAGGGACCTGTCTTCCAGGGAGAAGCGAGGCTCGGGAACGAGATGGTCATTCTTGGCCAGATGTGAAGGTGGTGACAGCCTGCAGTTACATGTGCCATCACACTCACTAGCAGGAGACACGGGTCCCTGTGTTGCAGCCCTTTGCCTAATTCCTAACTATGGCTCACTGGTCAAAATAAAAGGACTCCTTGAGGAGAAACCTATCAGAGCTCAGAGCAGCTATGAGTGAGAGGCCTTGGCAAGGTGTGAGCGGAGCAAACGTCACTCCTGAGTGCTATTCTGAGGCCTTCTTAACATGAGAAGGCTTAAACTTCAGTGCAAAACTTAAAAACCATTTGTACTTATCTGTGCTTATAAGAGTAACAAGCTTACTGCAGAAGTACCAGAAGAGAGAAAACAGAAGAGGACATGAGATCATGAGTCCGAGTTCTGTACCAAACATGCCCACATGTGACACCCATGCACACATGTGTATATGACACACACCAGCAGAGTTCCCTCATGCCATTAGTCTTGAAAATAAGGTTTCTAAGGTCTCACACTATTCTGCTGTTTGGATGGATCACAATGTACATACCAGTCCCCATCACTGAGCAAGTGATTCCAATTTCTCACACTATAAATAATTCTGCAACAGCTATCTTTGGGCATCCACTTTTGACCGCCTCTAATTTTTTTCTTTAAACAGATTCATAGAAACACTGGCCATACAATCCCACCGGCCTTACTGCATTGAGCATCAGCTCTTTAAGAATTTGCCAGTTTAGTCAAAAGGATGCAATCTTTGTTTCCCTGTTTCTCTTTTATCACTAGGAAATGAAACGTCTTCTGTATTTTTTGGCCAGTTCTATTTCTTTTTTGTGACCTGCCCGTCATCTTAGCTCGAAGTTGACTGGCTCTGTGAGCAATTGACTTCCTGGGCTGCATGGTCAGCCCTCATTCTCGATTAGAGCGACACCTCAGAGAGTTTCCACGCTCCACTGAGGCTGCAAACCTCGGGCAGCCCAGCCATTCCACATCAGCTCTCCCTTCTGCTGTCCTACTGGAGATGTGTTTTCTTAAATAAACAGCTTTTAATGTTTGCCTCTGATAATAGTATCATGTGCTCATTGCAGAACAAAAAGGGAAGAGGCACTACCAGACACCCTGGCAATGTTCTGGTGATTTCCCATGGCTCTTTCTCCCAGGTACCTAAGTACCTTCTACACATGTATTTATCTAAAACTAGGTAAATAGAGTTGACTATTTACTATGTCACTTTTCAACATTAACAGTGTATGATGCATATTCTTTGAAATAATCAGAGATGCCATTTTTGTTTCCTCATGTTTACTTATCAGTTTCTTTAAAATGACAAAACTGCTCAGGGAAAAGCACCGAGAAGGCAGTAGGAGCTACGTGTTTGCTCAGCTCTGTCCCCGGGCCCCAGCGCCATCCCGTATCCCTATGTTGTCATCTCTGTCCTCACCTCCATCCCATGCCCTCGTTTCCCCACATCTGCGTCTCCGTGTCCTCACCTGGGCCCTGTGTCCTCATCTCTGTTTTCTCAGGTGCAGCCTGTGCTCGCATCCCCACGTCCTCGTCTCAGCCCTGTCCTCACATCTGTGTCTTTACCCCCATGTCCTCAGCTCCGACAGCAGGGTCAATGTAAAGCCCTGAGGATGCCTGGGTCCTAGAATCGCCTGTGTGTGCGGACCAACTTCTCTGAGGGTGTGGCAGTGCTCGGTGGACTCAGGGAGTCCAAAGGCACTGTGGCTGTCAGGAAAGTGTCAGGGGTGGGGTCGGGGGAGGGCGCTTTGATTTCTTCCCTGAGAGGCAGCTGGGAGCCCTGGGGGCTGACAAGGAGCTCCCCACGTGTGCTCCCTGGCAGAACCGGGCTGCAGGGAAGGAGGCAGGCACACACAGGGCAGGGAGGGCCACCGTGGCTGGAATGGAAGTGGCCAGCTTGTCTCCTGTCATCTAGACATGGAGAAGGCCACTGAGAGGAACTGGCCGGAGGAGGACCTGCCAGCTCCTGCCAGAATTTGAATCTGAATGGCAGGAGGGGCTGGCCAGGGAAAGGGTTAAGTTTAATTTATCCTGATTTCTATTTAATATCATGCTCTCCCCGTAGGAGCCGGCAGCTGTGAGCTGATTGCGCGCTCTCATTATGCAGTCTGTATCGCTAATGGCCTGTGACAAAGGCATGCGGCTTCCAGGCCTCACCCCCGAGAGCCAATTAAACACACATACTCCCTTCCTGTTTGCAGTGCATTACAATGAAATTAAACTGAATTTCAAAATCATTTTCTCCTAAAGACATCTCTTTACAATAATTAATGCATACTATTCCTTTTCAACTGAAATATTCATCAGGAGCAGTGACTAAAATGTTTGAACGCTGACTGCCCCACATTTTGCATGGCTGTTGCCCCAGTGCTCAGTCAGCCCTGCTATCGGCAAAATCCACAGGGTTTTGGTTCCTGTGCTTTTAAAGAAAAAATATCTGCAGCTTTTTATCTGAATTTTAAAATAAAAGAAGATGGCTACAAAGTAAGTCAGGTTTCCAAATTGGGACCATTTAGATGGCTAAAGAAGGGATGCATAAAAGCACGATTAGTTCAAAAGTAGTATTTCCTAAATATCTGCATTTGAAGGACAATTATAGAGAGACAGACATGTATTAACGCAGATGTTTATAGGTAAACCAGATGGGCGTGTGTTAATATCCTGACTACATCCTGTCACAGGCAGAGATAGGAGGGCCCAAAACAGGTCACCTGGACTCCTGAGTCCCCAAAATGGGGCCCTCTGCTGACCAGCACCCCAGATTCTCCTGCCAGGGTTCCTGGGGCACTGGTCTCTGTTCTGAGGGCCAACACATACCCGATCTGCAAACCCTTCAGAACCCTCCACAAATCTGCTCTCTGCCCAGTGTGGAGGGACCAGGGGGACAGGACATGCCAACCACAGCTACTAGGAAATATACTTCTGAGGGTACGTGAGAGAGAAAGCCATGATGGCTGTGGGACCGCAGGGCTGGGATCAGCAAGTCCAGCCCTAAGTGCCACCTGCATGGGGGCAGAAAGGGGGCCATTGATATCTCCCAGTAGGACTTTCTAACTGTCCCTTCACCCTCAAGCCCCCACTCAATGGGCCCACACAGCTCCCTGCTCTGTCACTTGGTGACCTCAGGCCCATGACAGCAGCAGACTGGAGAGTGGACATGGAATCCACCCCCTACAGATCCAGGCTGACCTGAGCCTGTTGAGATGACATGTGTGCAAGTGTCAGCCCCAGGCAGCACATGGCACAGGGGTCACCAGGCTAAGGGCCATGGCCGTCTCTCACACACCCTCTCTCCCGTCCTATTTGCACAGAGACCCCGGCGGCATCCTATACCACCTGCGGCGGCTTCCTTTCTTCTGAGCTCTGCTCTCACAGAAGGATCAAGGCACGTTTCTGATCACGGGGCCACATCTGATGACATGTGAAAACAGGCCTTGCTTTTAGAAAATACTTCCTTGAGATTATTATGAACTAATGTGTGTCCAAGACATAAGTTTTAGAAATACAAACAGGCAAAAAGAAAAGGAGAAACCACCCAGAATCCCCCATCTAGGTGTCGGGAACCGATGCTCTGGTGTGTGTTTACATGAGCACACACACTAGGGAATCATGCAGCTGCAAACCCAAACATCCCAGTGTCTGCCGGGCCCAAGGAGGTGGGATGGAGGGACAGAAGGGGACAGGGTGAGGGACAGAGGGTGGAGGGACGTGGGACGGGCGGGGGCAGGGGATGGAAGGTGCCTCAGATCAGGCTCTGGGTGTGTGTCCCAGGTGACAGGATGCCAGTATGGTGGGGGGGGGGGCACCAGAGCATTCCATCAGTGCTGCCTTTTTCTGCCCAGCGCTGGGGCCCCAGGTTATGACGAGTTTATACTTGCTCGCTTGGGCAGCTGACACAGAGTGCAGACTTTAGTAGGGAAGAGGGAACGGAATGACCCACACCACAAATAAACCACATTCCATCACACAACTTGATCCTGAGTGGGGGAGGGTAATTTTCAAAGCATGATGGGCTAAGAGGGAGGGTGGGTGGAAGAGGGTGAGGAGGAACTCCTCCTTAGAGTGCAGTGGTGACTGGGAAGGGGGTGTGCGTGTCCTGACCCAAGATGGGCAATGGGACCAGCAGGAGGGGGCTGCGGCCTCAGGAGCCTCCTTTCAGAGGCTGAAAGGGATACAGCCACAAAGATGTGAGACACAAGGTGCACCCCCAGCCCTGTCTCTGCCCTTGACAGAGATTCTGAGGTGTCAGGTGTGGTGACAACCTGGGTGGCCACGTCACACTCCTCTATCCCCTCAGGCCCCTCCTCCGGTGGCTCTCCCTCTCTGCCCCAGCCCCTACCTGTTTTAAACCAGCCATCTGAGGTGAACGCTTTCTTCGTTTCTTCTGGTTTGCCCCAGTATTCACGGAACACAGTGGGTCCCCTGACCAAGAGCTCCCCTTCCTTCTCCTTGAATCCTGGGGTCACCTGCGGTGTGGGAGAGAAATGTGCCCGTCAGAGCAACGCCTCCCAGGATGGGGTCTCCACCTGCCTCCCCTGTGCCCCTGCCCGACCTGAGGACCACCATGCTTTTCTGAAATTGAACATATTGTTGGGAAACACAGCTTTCAACGCAGAAACTCAATCAGAGCTGCTCCCTCAGCTCACCCTGCCCTGGGTGGGGCTGTGGGTCATCTCTTCATCCTCAAATAGCTCCATCCTGTAGATTGTAGATGTGAATAAGTGGCCAGGGCTCAGAGCTTGGACCTGGCTGGATTAGCTGTCCGCTTCTAAAAGCCATGTTCTTGGCTTCCCATGAAATCCTGTGTCCAGGGCATTTCTCAGACAAACCAGGGAACCCAGGAGAAGCAAGCAGCAGCCCGCACCCTGTCTGTGGCAACTGGAGCAGCTCCGAGTTGGTAGCACCCGCTGGAGAGCCTTTTGGAGGTGCTACTTTGCTTGGTGAAAAGGAAGCTGACAGAGCAGTCAACGGACAGGGCGGCTCCAGGAGGAAGACTTGGGAGCCAGGAGACCCTGGCACTGGAATTCACGTGGTCGTGGAAGGCAGGGAAGCTCAGTGCTTCTCTAGTGTGACCACAGTGAAGGGTAGCAGGGAGATTGGGTTTTATAAGAAACTGAGCAGGGGCTTCCATGGTGCCAGGAAAAGCACCTGCAGAGGAGGCACCTGTGAGGTCACAGGTCCGTTCCTCTGGTAAGCCACCGCTGGCCTATTGGAGAACTCAGCACTCCTCACTTAGTAAGAGAAATAGTAGTCAGAACACCAGCAAGGCTGTGGAAGAACTTAACCATCTGCATCTAATTGACATTTACACTCCAGCCCAAACCAGCAGAACATTCACAAGCAGGACCACATATTCTGGGCCATAAAACATACCTTAACAAATTAAAAACAACAACAACACTGAAATCATACCAAGCATGTTTTCTGACCAAAAGCTAGAAATCAATAACAGAAAAATCTCTAAACCCTTGGAAAATAAATATCACACTTATAAATAATCCACGAGTCAAAGGAGATGTCTTAAGGAAAATTATAAAATATTTTGAACTGAATGAAAATACAACCCACCAACAAGGGGGGAGTACAACTAAAGCAGTGCTTAGAGGGAAGTTTATATAATTAAATGCACATATTAGAAAAGAGAGAAGGTCTCAAATCAATAACCTAAAGTTTCAACTTAAGAAACCAGCAGTTCAATGGGTACTAGGAGCCGAGAGCAGACCCCAGAGAGCCCTGAGCAGCCCCAGCACCGTCGGCCTAGTTACCATACACCGGGAGGAGCTGCAGCTGCTGCAGCCTGCCACCACCACCTCAGGGCTGCCCACACCAAGCCTGGCACCATGAGCAGTGGTGCAGGGAATGGAGGTCCTGGCGGCCTCACATCAGCGGTGCCTGCTGGCAGGGACAAGAAGGTTTTGGGAAACGAAAAGGGAGCCCACTGTATGGGAGAAGATATTTGGCAATGATACATCTTATAAAGGGTGAATATCCAAAATATATAAGGAACTCATACAACTTAACGAAAGGCAGATAAACAATCCAATTAAAAAATGGACAAAGGACCTAAATAGACATTTCTCCAAAGAGGACATACAGATGACCAAGAAAAAATGCTCAAAGTCACTGATCATTAGAGAGATGCAAATTAAAATGACAATGCGGTATCACCTCACACCTGTCAGAATGGCTACCATCAACAAATCACAAATGCTGGCGAGGGTATGGAGAAAAGGGAACCCTAGTACACTGCTGCTGGTGCAGCCATTATGGAAAACAGTATGGCGTTTCCTCAAAAAAGTAAATATGGATCGGCCATTAGACCCAGTGATTCCACTTCCAGAAATATATCCTAAGAAACCTGAAACACCAATCAGAAAGAATGTATGCACTCCTATGTTTATAGCAGCACAAATTATAATAGTTAAGTTCTGGAAATAGCCCAAGTGCCCATCAGCAGATGAGTGGATAAAAAAGCTGTGGTACATTTACACCACGGAATACTATGCAGCAGTAAAAAAGAAGGATCTCTTACCCTTTGAGACAGCATGGAGGGACCTGGAGAGTATCATGCTAAGTGAAATAAGTCAGAGAAAGACAAGTATCCCATGATCTCACTCATATGTGGAATCTAAATAACAAAATAAACTGATGAATGGAGTGGATCCAGAGACATGGAAGCATGGAACAGAGTGTGGAATCTCAGACGGAAGGTGAGGGAGGGTGAGTGGGTGGGAGGTAATCAACCAAAGACCTTGTATGCATATATGCAGAACTCATAGACACAGACAGTGGGGTGGTGAGTGCTTGGGGTGGGCGTAGGCTGGAGGGGGTCAATGGGGAAAAAGGGGGACATATGTAATACTTTCAACAATAAAAATAAAAATAAAAGGTTTTGGGAACAGTAAAATGGTTCAATGTAAGAAAAAGATATGGTTTCATCAACAGGAATGACACCAAGGAAGATGTATTTGTACACCAGACTGCCATAAAGAATAACCCTAGGAAGTACCTTTGCAGTGTAAGAGATGCAGAGATTGTGGAGTTTGATGTTGTTGAAGGAGAAAAGGGTGTGGAGGCAGCAAATGTTACAGGCCCTGGTGGAGTTCCAGTAAACATGCAAGGCAGTAAATATGCAGCAGACAGTAACCATTCCAGACACTATCCACCTTGCAGGGGTCCTCGGTGCAAATACCAGCAGAACTACCCAAATAGTGAGAGTGGGGGAAAGAATGAGAGATCCAAGAGTGCTCCCGAAGGCCAGGCCCAACAGCACCTGCCCTACTGCAGGCAACAGTTCCCACCTTACTGCATGTGGACACCCTATGGGCATCGACCACAGTATTCCAACCCTCAGATGCAAGGAGAAATGATGGCGGGTGCTGACAACCAGAGTGCAGGAGAACAAGGTAGGCCAGTGAGACAGAATATGTATTAGAGCTACAGACCATGATTAACTGGGGTTCTCCTCACCAAAACAGCCTAGAGAGAACAACAATGAAGAAGATAAGAAAATGCTAAACCACAAGATGGCAAAGAGACAAAAGCAGCTGATCCACTGGCCCAGAATTCATCCGCTCCCAAGGCTGAGCAGAGTGGGGGTGAATAAATGCTAGCTTACCATCTCTACCATCCGGTTTAGTCATCCAACAAGAAGAAATGAATATGAAATTCAGCAATAAGAAATGAACAAAAGATTAGAACTGAAGACCTTAAGCTAGGGGTAGGGAAACTCTTTTCTGCCAATGGCCATTTGGATATTTATTAACATCATTTGCAGGCCATACAAAATTACCAACTTAAAAATTCGCTGCTACATTTGGTCAAACATTTAACTCACCCCTAATGCCTCGGCAGGGCCAGCCCAAATGATTTCGCAGGCCTTATACGACCTGCAGGCTGGATGTTCCCTACCTCTGCCTTCAGTGCTTGCTTTTTGCCCGTTAACCAGACAACTGGAACTATCCGCATTATCTATACAGCATGGGGTTTTTATTATTTTTACCTATAGAAATCTCATTTTGGTAATGACAAATGAGGTTTTTATTTCTTAAAAGCCTGGTTTTTCTTAATATATTTTTAAAGGTTTTTAAAATTGTTTCATATTTGGTCAAATTAAGATTTTTAAGGACCTTATTTTTAATTTGTAATAAAAATTCAACAAACTGCAAGCACCTGTTAATAAAAGGCCTTAAATAATTGTTTGTGTAAAAACAAGAAAAAAAGAAACTAGAAAAAGAGAAAGCAATCGCAAAAAAAAAAAAAGAAACAATAAAGATAAGACAGAAACCAGGATTAAAAAGAGAAAAGCAATAGAGGAAATTCAATAAATCCAATAAAGCTAGTTCTCTGAAGAAAGATTAACAAAACAGTTAAACTTCTAGCAACAATAACAAAGAAAAAAGAAATGGAAGACACAAATGACTAGTATGAGCAATGGGAAGAGTATCACTTCAGACTCCACATATATTAAAATATTAATAATGAAAAACTCTATGCACATAAATTTGGCAACTTAAATGAAACTGAATTCAGTTAAAATCTTCCAAAAAAGAAACCTCTAGACCCAGATGGTAAATTCTATCAAATATTATAAAAACACAAAACTCCAATTACACACAAACTCTTCTAGAAAATAGAAGAGGGAACATTTTCTGACTCATTTTATGACACCAGCATCATCGATGCCCCGTGATACACTGACCAGCCCTCAAGCACAGCAGCTGCCAGCACACAGGCTGTGTGGCCACAGACACGTAGAGTACAAAGTTGGGGTCTTCTGGAACCAAAACCAACTCTCTTTCAACTAGAGCCCAGAGTCCCATTCAATCCTATCAATCCAGCTCAATCCCATTCAACACTTAATCTGAGCCCCTTCTTAGATTCACCTGACCACCACAGGGTAAATACCATAAAGACAGGCAGATCCACCAATTCTAACTTTTGCACAGATTTGCCAAGGGCGTCTCCGGTTTAAGGAAAGTACATGTCATCATTTTCTTCTGTTTTAAAAAAATATATTTCTATTCATTTCAGAGAGGAAAGAAGGAGACATTGATCTCAATGATGGAAGAGAGTGATTGATCCGCTGCCTCCTGCACGCCCACACTGAGGATCGAGCCTGCAACCTAGGCATGTGCCCTGACCGGGAATCCAATTGTGATCTCCTGGTTCATAGACGCTCAGCCACTGGGCCATGCCAGCCAGGCTGTCATGATTTTCTTTCTTTCTTTTTTTTAATCCTCACCTGAGGATATTTTTCCCATTGATTTTTAGAGAGAGTGGAAGAGAGAAGGAAAGACAGAAATATTGATGTGAGAGAAACACATCAATTAGATAGTTGTCTCCTGCACGCACCCCGACCAGGGCCTGGGGTGGGGAAGAGCCTGCAACCAAGGTACGTGTCCTTGACTGGAATTGAACCTGGGACCCTTCGGTCCACAGGTTGACACTCTATCCACTGAGCCAA